AGATGATCAGTGGGCTTGCTTAGCTTGTGTCCTCCCCAAAGGACTCCCAAGCAATATTTAGCTTATATGCCCCAATACTGTCAGTATATTGTTAATACATTTAAACTACAATTCATAGGCATAGTTCATAAATAATTGTTTATTTATAACAAATAGTGTCTAAAAAATTTAGTGTCTATTTTTAAAAATGGGTTAAATTTGGACAAAATAGTCATGGATAGCATAGTGAAGCATGACTGTATGCATGCATCAGCATGAGTCCTCCTTGAGGTGCAGCTTGTAAGTAAATGTGGAAAAATAAAACTGGTGATATTCTCAAACACTTAGACAAAATAGTTTGCAAGAATAGTTTTTTCACAGCCAATAACACTGTACTCTGCAAAATGAAGTTAAACACTGCGACAGTCCTCCTTCTTTCTTGCTAATCAACAGTGAAGCTCCAACAGCTCAGAGTGTTCGTCGTTCCACAACACTAGATGATCTCCGAAATCGTGTTGAAAAAGCCGTGAGTACAGTGACGCCCAACATGCTCAATCGAGTATGGGATGAATTTGACTATCACGTTGATGTTGTCCGTACAGCTGGAGGAGGTCATACTGAGCACTTGTAAAATTACATAATAAACTTTATGCTCACTTAAATCATTTACAATTTACTGCATTGTTCTGTAATGATTTACAAGGGTCCGTAGGTGGTGAACTCATAAATCAACAAATCAACATGTCATTCCTTCTGGGAATAACTAGTAAGGTAATGCTACATGCCTGCCCCAGAGCTACCAGTAAAACATATATATATATATATATATATATATATATATATATATATATATATATATATATATATATAAAAATCTGTTTATTACTCTGCAAGGGAGTCTCAGATAATGCAGATCTGCTGTTGTTTCGCCAGACTGGTTTTAACACAACAGCAGTTCTAGCGTGCTATAGAGTGCAGATGCATCATCTTCAAACTCGCTAACTTGAAATGTCCTAGCCAACACGTATGAATGCAACTGTAGCATCTGACATTGTTTATGCAAGTTGTCCTCATTGTCTTAATGTTTGCATTTGATGCTTTTGCAAGTGGCATGGATGATACAAAAATTCATGGGACTGGATGCAAGCCCTCCTGCTGGAGTGTGAGCGTTGACGTGGACCTACTTAACAAGTCTGTTGTTTCTCCCACATCAGAAAAGCAAGCCTGATTCCCTCTGTCATGCTAGCCTTCATGTACTGTGGTCTAATCTCTTATTTGGGAATAAAGTTCTTTGAAAGTTTGACGGCGTCATTAATTTGCCAATCACAGCCGCAGAGACCGGGCCCTAGTGCTATACTCAGAGGATCAGATTTTCTCCCATGCTGTTTGAACTCCATGTTATATTACTAAGAAAAAACAGAATTTGTCAAGGATGAAAAAAGAGAAAAAAAAAGACACAGGCCAAATGGAAAAAAAGAAAACAGATCTTTGAATAAAGCTGAAACACAGGAAACGTAATAATGGATTTGACTGACCAACCAAAACATCTGTTGTTCATAGAATCTGCCTAAATTACATTTAATAAGTCTGTTCTCCAAGGGAGGCACAGACAGAAACATCAGTCTGGGGTAAATCTGTTCAAGAAAGCAGCAATTTTCATTTAAAAAGCCCAAACTACAAACAGAATGAGGCAGAATGCAAGAGTATATTGTTTCTCCCTGAATAGCACCAGTAGAAGTGGTTGGAACAATAAAGAACATGACACAAGATGACTTGTCAGGCAAGTGAGACTGTGCAGGTGGAAGGAAAATGCTAATTCTGATCATAGTTCTCCCCTACTAAACAGTCACTGTAAAGTACACAGACTCCTCATAATGGTGTGCCATAAACATGCATGGAAAGAAAACATGTCCAGCCTTTGGGGTCAGTTGTATATAAGCACACAGCACTGGCTGCAGGCAACCATATTTACTGGGAACTGTCCTGGATCAGCTGCCAACTGACTCTTGGTCTTGTCCTTTCATCTTCAAAAAGACTGAGGAAACTAGGAGCCTGGAGGGCGCCAAAGCAGCAATTCCAGGTTGAGGGAAAACTAATACTCCAGTTTCAGCCCAAGGACGAGGATTTGGGCTGATTCCCTCTGCGCCCTCAACAAAGACTCCTAGCCAAGAAACGGAAAAACAATAAAACCTTCTTCAGCCCAGTATTAGCAAGGAAATGACATATAGCTTGTGTACAGTAACATTTCACAGTAATTGGACAAATTTTGTGAAAGCTTGTTTCAATGGCTGTGTGTCATGAATGAAATTTATTCATACTTAAGAAAAAACAAAGCTCTGCTGGGCTGGAACCACAAGCTCCCAAAGCTGTAAGTGCAGGCACGAGCCATTTGTTCTCCTCAAGTTACCGCAATGTCAGCCAAACTACACGTTTATTAGTGTACTGACCACACCAGTAGATTAATCTGAATTGCTCATCTTCAAGTGTGCTCGGAAGAACATCCGCTCACACAGCCAGCTTTCCACAGTGCTATCCGTTCGCAGATTCCAGGAAGAAACTTGAGCCTACACTCAATCCGCAGACCTTTTGTCCGAGGTAGGTCTAGAAGGCCTGAGGACCTTATCGTATCAAGAACATAACCTTAATTTGATCAAATATGAAATACATTTACGTAAACACTTTGTCTTCAGACAAACGCAGATTTTGTCATTTATAAGCATAAATCTACACTGAAGATGCCAATGAACCACGTCCTGGAACTTAACATCTCATCTCAATAAAGCAGCTGACGAATGGCTTCTGTAGTGCTGCCTTCTCTCTTCCTTCCCAAATTCAATCTCAGAGAGCACGCAAAGAGAAAATGTGCTTTCTTGAGAACAGAAGAGCGGCCATGACGGCCATCTTATCTCATTCAGACGGTGTTGAGGCAGCCAGTTTTCTGTCAGCAGTAGCTGAGAAATGTATCTTTTTCGAGCAGCTAGAGTAAGCTTGATGGACACCAATTCAAATGCAGTGGGACACAGAGAGAAAAAGTTTTCAAACCAACCAGCATCACTTTCATGTAAAGTTCTGCTCTGCTGTGGGAAGGAAGAAGAAGAAGAAGGAGAAAAATCCTGACAGTTGGACACCCGGAAGATTGTGTTTCGCCCTCATGTTTGCCATTAGCTATAAGATCTTGTCCCAAAATTCAAAAGCCATTTCTGTCAGAAAATCTAAATCTCTTATAAGTGTGGAGATCTTCAAGTTTAAAGAGGCTCTCAACACTTGGCTGGAACTGGGGCGTCACTCCATCCCGAGGAATATTTAACTCTGCTACATAAATCGGAACGTGGACTGCTCCTGTACGTGTTGCCATGGATCTCCTTGCATCCATGAGCTGAAGCTCCTCACACAGTACCAGTCTCCAATGCTGGGGAATTGGGGTTTTTGCTGGAGAGGGCGTTGAGGTTCAGTGCACTTTTGACCACAATCGCATCATCCGATGGAGGAGCACATACAGAAGGTCCAAACCACAAAATTTGCTCCCTTGAGTGCCAACAAATTGCTCAGTGCGTTCTGGGTGCTGGAAGAGATGGAGGATCGTATCCCACAGCAGCCTCTCGCTGTAGCAGGCTGTTTCACTCTCCTGCCTTCATATCCCATACGGCCAGTCCACAACACTCTTAATAATGACGTGACTGATGAGGTGCTGAGTAAATGGCTTTATGCTGTGTGTGAAGCATGATGAAGGATGAAAAAGCTATTTGCTTTGAACCGCTGTGTTTCTTTTTAACCTCTAATACTAGCCTTTACAACTGAAAACGAAGCGCTGACAATGTTTTTCACAAAACGACTCTGCTAAGATGTTTAGAGGACACACTACGTCAGAAAGTGTTTTAAATTTGAGTTCTTTATATCTGCCAGAAGAGAAACATCATATTACACATCACTAACATATAGCACAAGATGCTAAAATTTTTTCCCTTTTTTTAAAAACATTCTTAATCAGTGACCATATGTATTGAGGTCCAACTCTTCTTTGGATGGTCCTTTGATAAAAAATATAAAAAAAGAGATTTGTGCCCATATATAGACACTTTGTCATTAATCCACTGCACAGTACCACCTCCGCTAGACTTTGTTTCTCCTGCTAGGACCCAATAAACATGGTTTAGCCATGCTGACAATTTATATTTCGTCTTGGGGTTTGAAGAGTCAAATGCATCCCCAGCTGGGGGCTTGACTGTCAAATGGCTTCCCACAGAGACAACGTGATAGCCAGACTGAAGAGGAGAAGGGGCTTGGCGGAGAAGGCATGAGAAACCTGCTGCTAAACAAAATGGAGGTTTCTAGCCATCCTGCTAGGGGATTCGTTAATATACGCTAAACGGCATGTGTGTGCATGTTGAGGCTGGGACACAGAATGAAAAAATAAATGCTATGAGGGGATGATGGCTACCTGCAGCGCAGGAACACAAATGGTCTGTCCGCTAACAAAGTGTGCCGCGCTCGGCAGGGCTAGAAAACTCGGTTGCGGCACATCAGCTCATGCCAAACCCAGCCCAAACAGCTGAAAGAAAAGGACAAAAAATGCAACCCAGGGTGTTGAATAAAAGACCAGAGTCATATTGCGCTTAGAGATTTGCCTCCTTCATCCGGCAACCTGTGGTTTCAGCAAATGGGGCTTTTCGGTTCTTCCACTAAATCCCGCTTAAAACAGTGCATATTAAAAGAATGCATTAAAAGTCGTTGCTGTACGACATTTAGTTTTACGAAAATCTCTTTTTAAACAGCATTCCGTCTGTGGCGCTAAAACATCGTCATAATTTCGCAAAAGTATTCGGCTCAGTTTTTAGTTACGCACTGTTGCAAAATTTATTCAAAATTTGTTATTTTTTGCCATAAAATGCAGTGTTTATATGAACAATTCTAATTCCTAATTAGCAATGTAAAAATAAAAAAATAAAAAAAAAAGTATAGCAAACATTCTCTTTGGCATTGGCAACAAAAAATGGTGACGCGGAAAAGAAGAGACCCCCTACCTGTCCATCGCGTTTTCTCCACTCCTGGGTCTGAGCTTGGTGCTGGACCATGGCGGCCCGCGCTTGTTTCTCCAGGCTGGCGATCTCCCGCTGGTGGTCCTGGACCAGGCTGTCCTTCTCGGCATTGTGCTGCTGGAATAGGTGCGTCCTCTCCTGTTCATGCTGCAGTTTCAGGTCCACAATCTGATTGGACAACAAGGATCAAGACTTCATCAGCGGCACATCCTTGTCGTCATGACAACTTGTGCATGGCTCAGCGAAAAAAAAAAGTTCGGCATTAGCTTCGCTACCTAATAAACCCGAACAGAGTTTTTGCATCACTATTACCTCATAGCCTCTGCTATCCTCCCATTCTTTGGGTTAATTGTAAGCGCTCCTCATGCTCTGTCTCTTTCGCCTCCCCTCCGATGCTCATTATAAAAAGAGGCGTGATGTCTAGGCCAGTTGGAAAGGCTGGGATGGGGTAGCCATCTGCCCCGTCATGCGAGCCTAGCCCTGTGCACCGAAGGTGACAGGACGGAAAAATTGGCTTAGAGCGATGCCTAAAATCATCATTATACGGTATATTCATTCAACATAGAGTAAGAAAAGAACATCGCCATGGAAAGAAAGACGAAAAAGACTGATTTAAAAAAGATATTTTTTAGATTGCGATTTATATCTGTAATCCAATTTATTCCATCAGACTGCTAAAGAACAAAAACTTTTCAAAGGCATCAGTTTGAGTTATTTTAGCTTCAATCTTAATGTTCAATAGTCTAGCGACCAACTACTCTGGCAACCGATTACCAGTAATTACTGTTTACCTACCAACAACCTTTCATTAAGACCAGAATAAGCAGGGCAGAGCTAAATAGTAGCAATTCTCACTGCTGTGTCTAAATCCTCAAAGTGTCGGATGGAAGAAATTCTGAAAGAGCACACAAAAGCAAGAGGGTAGCATTATCTCGCTGTCCTGCACCTGCTGTGCAGTGAGCCGGTGCTGGGCGTTCAGAAGTCGGGCCTGTCGTTTCCCAGGGTCCGTTCCCACTCCCCTCCTGACGGGGGGGATGATGACCTTGGCCGGTCCTGCCCTGTCTCCCTGCTGGCTGTGAAAGACTGCCCGGCGTGGAGTGGGCCTGGTCCCCGCAGCTTTGATGCTAATCCGTAGCACATTGTGCGCCTCGGCACCCTACCTGGCCTGCCAGCCAGAGGCTGCAGGACTGCTATTGAGAGCAGGTGATGAATGGGGTTGCCGTGAGGAGCCAGAATTTCCCCCCAGCAAGATGGAGAGAAGGCCATAGAGAGATGCTTAAAAGAGCCCCATGGCACCAGCTTTTCAGTTTCAGCAGATTTTTTCAGAGGCTAACGCACAGATCAGTAGAGCGGTTTCGCCTTTGCCAGCTTCATCAGCTTTCAGACAACCCTGCTCTATGAGGAAAAGCGACAGATGAAAAATACTTCATGCAGAGTTGGTGCTAGGCTAAGACTGACCAGCCAACAGGAGAAGTCTGGATTCAGGAAGGATAGAACACTGGATCTTAAAGCTGTAGGACAGATTCCTGTCGTCTTCTTGCCTGGCTTTAACACTGTGAGACAACTCTTACTTCACCGCAATAATGTTAGTGGATTTTGTTATGTACAATGTCATCATCCACACATATACATATATGCATGCATGGCTCAGTGATCAGTGGCTAACTCTCCAGCGCATGGTTCACTCCGGGATGAGTGACATATTCCAGCCAGGCAACGAAACATTTCTTACTGTTGACAATTCCGATCGAAATCGCTTTGACGCGGGAGTGAAGATCCGTGGTAAAGTGTACTAACAAAAGGACGGAGGGAGACCAACAAGGGGAAGAAGAGGATCGGGAAAAACACAGCCGCCTCATTGTAGACGTCACAGGGAGAATGGGAGAAAAGGCTGCTGGGTGCCAGGCTCTTAAAGTGGCAGTGCTGAATGGCTGCTGTCAGCGGGCTTGGACGTGATTAGCGCCCCCCCTCTAGGAACCAAGGTGCTGAGGTAATGGGGAAAGCGGCCAGTCAAGGAGACTCCCCGGGGTAGATCATGGATGGGGCGAGGAAAGGAGCCTGGCTGCACTCAGCGGGGGTGTGGTATGCAGAAGAAAGATCTAGGGGGGGTTTGCTGGAACTGCGTCTATTCTGTTTTATAGAGTACAGAAAATGAAGACGCTTCCTGGTACTTGTGCATGGAAAAGGAAGAATGTGTGCTAAATTTCTGGGCTGAGTGTGTTTGCGTGTGCCGTGGCTAAAGATCTAAAGAGCAGATTGGATTAGTCACCGAGTTATGACAGAATGGAAACTCATTCTCACGCCCCCTGCTCCCCCCTCCCCACCTCCAGGCTGTAGCCTCGGACGTCAGTTCAATGTCAGGGAGTGGGGCTCACAAGGGCTTGGCCATGACGTTGCAGCGGGGTGGAGGTCACAGAGGAGCAGCACTTCTATAGAGCTCCTCTCTTTTAAAGTCCAATTGAGGCATGCCCTGGGGAAGTTGGGGAATGTCCCTTTGTGCCCACATGAATGAGTGAACGTGACCTTCAGGCGCAAACTCACACAACTAACTTTAAGGAGGGGGAATCATAACTCGTAGTTATGGATGGATTATTTCATTCAGACGAAATTGAAAAATTGAAAAATGTGATTTGAGGGCACAAAATGTACTTCATCTTGGGGGGTATGAAGCTTTAAAACAAAATTTATAAATAATAAATGTTCTATCAAAAATATCTTTGAGTTTAAGGAAATTTCTTAAATAGCAATGTTTACATTACTTACAGTATTATTTTTAAATATTTTGGATGTTTCATGTAGAAATTACAGCACTTTTTTATACATAGCCTCCCTCTCAGTTCAAAGGACCATCATGTTTGGGACAGAGGTGTTTGCAATTACTCAAGTGTATTTAATTGTTTCATTAGTGCATGTATAAGAGAGCTTTCAGCATCTAGTCTTGATTTTAGGCTTCGGGTCTTTGGAGTCTGCTTTCGCTGTTTGTCAACATGAGGACCAGAGCTGTGGCCATGAAAGACATGGAAACCATTATAAGGCTGAGAAACAAGAATAAAACAGTAAGAGATATTGGCCAAACATTAGGCTTACCATAATCATCTCTTTGGAACTGGTTTGGACTGGTAGGCCATGGAAGACCTCCACAGCTGATAGTAGAAAGAATTTTCACCATAATGAAGAAAAAAACCCCCATACACCTGTCCATCATATCAGAAATACTCTTCTGGAGGCAGGTGTAGATTTCTCAATGACTACCGTCTGCAAAAGACCTCATGAACAGAAATACAGTGGTGGCAGAAAGGAACTGCTCAAGATCCAAAGCAAACCACCTTATATGTTGAACATAGTGAGGGGGCAGGGTGGGTTTGGGGAGCTCACTCATCTTCTTTGATGATGTAACTGATGATGACTGCTAGTCATGTACAGAAACATTTTATCAGCGCAAGTTTAGGAAAATGCCTCCAAACTCACTGGATCGTGCTTCATCTTATAGCGACACAATGGTCCCAAACTTACTGCCAAAGCAACAGAGGAGTTTTTCAAAGCAAAAAAAAATCTTGAAAAATTCTTGACTGGCCAAGTCAGTCACCCTTTCTGAATTCCACTGAGCAGGTCTTCTATACGCTGACAAAAAAAAATCTAAGGGGCTAACCCCTTAAAACAAGCAGGAGCTGAAGACAGTCCAGCAGAGCATCACAGGGGGGTCGGGGAGGTGGTTGTGTAATTTCGACATGCCCAAACTGAAATGTATAAAAATATCCTTTAATAAAATATAAGAATATACACTTTAACCATATTTGAATTGTCGGAGTGCAACTGTGGAGTAAAGGGGCCAAAAAATGAAAAAGAAAGCAAACAAACACACAAAAAAAAAAAACATGCCTTTGTCCCAAACATTATAGAAGACACTATATGCAAATATGTAGTACCGTAATTCTAGTATGGTATATATCATTACAGTATATTTTTGCTCCCTTCTTGTTCATAGAATTATTGAAATATTAAAAAAAAAAAATAATAAAAAACAAAAAAAAATTGGTGAACAGTTAATATTAAAATTCCATAAGTATAAGTCATGTCAAGTGATTCCAAACTTTTAAAGGGTAGTGCACACTAGTTAAAAAATCAGGGAGAAGCAAATACTTTGAAAGTAAAGCAGACGCAGCAGCTGAAACTGTGACAAGCTACTTCAAATTCAAATGAATCAGTTGTCGAAGTTGTTTCAGTTTTCTTTTAGCGACAGGAATTAACCTTAGATTTTCTGTCTTCAAAGACTTTCCCCATACTTGCCACTTACTGTCTTGCCGAAGAAAAAAAAAAACATGAAAGAATTCCATTTATTCTGCAATTTTGGCCTGACACTGGTGATTATTATGTGATTCACTACCTTGGCAACCTCATTTGTCATGCAGACAAAAAAAAAATTATTACAAAGTCTGTTTTGCTCTCTATCAACAAATCGTGAACACTAACCATCTCCATTCGAAACAATTTAAAACAATTGACACGGCATGCAAGTCAATTACTCTACAGAAAATGGCCAAGGGGACGGTGCGTTAGGGAAGCTGGAGAGAGGCACAGCTGCCTGTTTTGAAGGCTTTTTGGATATTTATCAGGTATTCGCCATGCACTGATATGGCACCTGTTACTGGTTGCCACACTTGAGGATTCATTGTGCATCAGGCTTTAGAGCCATCATGCTGGCGTCAACAGTATCATCTACACACCAGGTTAAAACCACACTAAATGCTACAAAGCACTATGTACTGTCTTTGGCACCTGAGAAAATTATGTTAAACCTATTTATCATGACAGTGATTGTTTATTTAATTACTCTTTTATTTCAAAAAAATGAGGAAAACTCTTCTTTCCATCTTTTGGGCCCTTAAAATCAAATGTGTTGGTAGATTTGAATGAAGCTATGCAATAGCTGTTGACATCAAGAAGTTTGGGAACAAAACCTATGTTGTTCGAACTAGCTCAACTACTCTCAGATACTTTTCTAACAACAACAATTTTTGTTATGTGTGTAATTTTTGTTGTATTGTATTAATGCTATTTTGCATTTATTCTAATGTTATATTGTGTCTCTACAAACCAAAACACACTTCTTGTTCAGATAAATGGTTTTAAACAATTTGCTTAGGTGCCTGAGACCTTTGCACAGTATTGTATGTCTGAATTAAGTTGACCTCATTTCCTGTATAAACTGATGTTAAAACATATTCGTCAAATAAGTTCCGGTAAAGAAAGTTAAGTTCAAATGAGCTCCTATCGAGTGTAATTTCCTTTTATATGTGCTCTATAAAAGTTCAGTTTACAGCAGCGAAATTCATTTAACAGTGATGACTTCTGTGTACCATCTTTGAGTCTGCATAGCTGTTTCAGATGAGAGGATAAATTTCTAATGAAGTACTGAATGAATTATCCATCAGTGAATCTCCTTCTGTTCCACTGTTGATTCATGGTATGACATCTTCAACTGCAACGTGATTATATTACAAATTGAAGGGCGCCTGTTTTACGTGCCCTACAAAGTAGATGGCATTAACGATAACAGGAATATTTCAGAGGATTAATTGGAATTGTTTTATTTTAAAAAAGGGCAATTATCGTCAGCTGATGGGATTTCGATCGGAAGGGAAATAATCTAGATTTTTACACAGGAGAATCTAATGGAATGATATGTTAACTGAACATGAAATGCAGTTCAGAAATCATATCTGATTTTACGACAGCTGGCCACCAGCAATAAGAGAGCAACCTCTGTCTAACATGAACCATATCCTTAATTTTAACAAGCATTGGATCAGAATGACTTTTAGACTGAAACGAATAAAGTATGATATTGAGAGAAACTGTAACTTAAAATGGGGTAAGACAATTACCTTTCAAATCTAACCTTCTGAAATCTTACCTATTGAATCTTAAATGGATCCCTGCTCCCTAAATAGTGTGATAAGTAAGTTATTAAATTCTAGCTTCTACACCCAAACAGTGCACTACTCGCCCAGCATGGACATGTCTGAATCCTGAATGATTATCTCTTAATTATGTTACGCACTGTTTGAGTGCAGGAGTCAGTATTTCAATTCCTATGTAGCGCACTACATAAGGAATACGGAGCTATCTGAAATTCAGCTCCGGTTTGCTTTGCCCCCAGACCATAAAAAGACAGCTCAACAAACATTTCCTTTCATTTACTGACTCTAAACAAGACTGAGGCATGTCTGGCCTATAACTGCTTTGCTAAAAGACGTTTATATCCTCGATCCCATATTTAGAGTGTGGCTTTCAGTCTGGGGGATGTAGTCTTCATCATGACACTGCATCTTATTCAGTGGCTAAAACTGCCGCACTACATTGTTATATCTTTGAGGCCTGTTCTCCCTCTCACACAGACAAGGGTTCTCAAACTTTTTTATGCCAGCACCCACATGTAGAAGCAGTATTTGCACTATAACTCATCAAATATTCTGTGAAGTGAAATAAGACATACATTATGTGGACAAAAGTATTGGGACACCCCTCCTACTTATTGAGTTCAGGTGTTTTGGCCACATCCATTGCTAACAGGTGGATAAAATTAAGCACACAGCCTTGCAGTCTCGACAGACAAACACAGGCAGTAGAACGGGCTGTACTGAGGAGCTCAGTGACTTCAAGCATGGCATTATTTTAGGATGCCACCTCTGTCACAAGTCAGTTTGTGAAATTTCTGTCCTGCTAGATCTGCTCCTGTCAACTGTAGAAGACACAGCTCAGCCACAAAACGGTAGACCACACAAACTCACAGAGTGGGGCCAATGATTGCTGAAGGCACAGTGCCTATTCTCTGTTGAATCACTAAATATGAACTTGAATGGAGAATGCAAGCCAGGCTCACCTCACAAATGCTCTTCCGGATTAATGGTCAAACTTCCCACAGATATACTCCAAAATCTTGAAGAAAGCTTCCTAGAAGAGTGGAAGCTGTTATAGCTGCAAAGGGGCAACCAACTTTGTATTAAGGCCTACGGATTTAGAACGGGATCTCATAAAAGCTCCAGTACATGTAATGAGTAGGTGTCTCAATACTTTTGTCCATACAGTGTAAGTGCAAAGCTTTCAGCCCAGCGTTCTGTTCGTTGAATTAACAAACAGAATATCATGATAAAAGTATTAAACATGCATAGGCCTGCATTGGTGAGACTGTGAGACAGAAAAAGTATCTGAAAAATCTGAAATAATAAGATTTATTTGTTCTATGTTGAGATGTAATCCATTCAGCTCTGACCTCCACTGTGAACACATAATAACAATAATTTGGTATCACATTACTACCCTGCTACATTACATTGACATAACCACACCATCAACATGTCATGGTAGTTGCCACATGCTGTCTTGAGATGTCATGACAGCTTATGTCTAGTAATAAGAGTTTTGTTACCATTTCCTTTAACTGTCATGATAGATGCCATGTTGGTTGATGTCATGACAGCCAACTAGAGAACACAAAATCACAATGTGACGTAAGCGGTCAAACATTATGCCATGTGTCTGACAGTTATCAGAAACGGTAACAAGACACAATTATTTTACTGAACAAGAACTGTTATAACAGCATATGACATTTGCCATGACATGGTTCTGGCACGGTTATGTCAGTGTTATCTAGCAGGGTTTATGTTAACTATTAGCATAAATTTCATTAATATTTAGTTGGATGTTACATGTCTTATTTAAATTTGATCTGATCCATGTTGTCAGCTAGTTCAGAAGGCTAGCAAGTGCAGTGCTCTGATCACTGTGGATGATTTTGGCTAAAGCAAGCTTTGTTCAGATGTGGCATGGCAGCAAACTGGATCAAGAGGGTATTTTAAACACTTGCTAATGGCTTACAGTATGTTGCTATCAGGAAAAAAAAAGGTACCTTTGAGACTTCCTTTTGTTGTCGTACACGTGACAATCAATAACTGTATTTCAAATGTGTGTCAAATGTGTGTGTGCTGCACATGGCCAGACAGGCCACACTGATAACACCGGAGTGCTTTGAGAGCACCAGCGGTGCAGAAACAGTGAAGTTACCGTTTCAGATCTAAAACGCACTTCGTTTAGCTGTGTTTTAGAAGAAAAAAAAAATTGCACTGCTGCAGCTTCCTCGAGACCCCTTTGTTCTCATGCTGCGACCCATCACTGATAGGGGTGTAAGAAAATATCAATACACTTGAGTATACTGTATCGATTCTCAAACACAGCAGATTCTTAATTAATAGTTTACATGCAAAGATTTGCGGCAGACAGTGGTTCATTTTGTGTTGTGTTCTATTCTATCTTCAGCCATTAGACTCTTTCACTCCAACATTAACAAGCAGCATAAGGGTGCACTGCTAAAGTTAGCATTGGCAAACCTAGCTGAGTAGTAACGCTACCACTGATGGCTGAATCTGAAAGACTTAGATTGGTGTTCTAACGATTAGTCCTACCTATCGACTGAGCATTCCCATATCATTACTCTAGTGTAGCAACTTGTGTTTTAATGTTACTTCAGAGCTACCTATATTTATGCCATATAGTAGAGCATTTTGACAAGGCAGCACAATGTGTCAGAGCAAGGCCTCTGTAATACGGTGAATATAAAGGAGACTCATAACACTATCCTCTCCCAACAACACATCACTGACACAGCCATTCCCAAGTTGTACAAGGAAAAAAATGTAAAAAAAAAAGTAAAAAATTAAAAATAAAAATAAAAAATATATATATAATAAATAAATAAATAAATAAAAAAAATAGATTTTCTTATATTTTACTGGTATAGGCAAATATAAATTTTTTTGTTCAGATTGTAAAAAAGTAGTGCAATGATGCTGGATGTTACAGGGACTACAATAATTGCAAATGCAGATCCCACTGTTCTGATTGCATAAAAATTACAATTTCTTTTACTCAGAGTTTATGCATATGGTGGCGTGTTATTTATGCTATGACAGTTTTCCTAAAATTAGATTTAAAAACAAAATCACAGTATATCACCTCGCGTACAGTATCATAATACATCGAAATATACTAAATCATAGCCCCTATGGGTATTGTATCACCAAGTTCTTGCCAATACACAGCCCTAATTACTGGGTCACTGGTCCACCACTGGCTGCCTCATTCTGTTCGTTGATTAAGTGTAAGAACTATGGTGCCAGAAAGACAGAATCAGATAGGAATTCTACTATCATAGACAATGCTTTACCTGCCTCACACAATACAGAGCTCTTCACATATTTATATTACGTACTGTCCTGAAGGGCTTCTAACAGTAGTCATTGGTGTTCATGGATTTAACTTTTCACTATGGTATGCTTCTATAGTCTAATAGTAGCTACTGATTTTTATAGATCTATTTCTCATTTCTTCCTCTGATGGGTCTGTAGTCAGTAACACTAACACTGACGGTAACAGTAACACTAACACTCTTACTAGTCAGTAACAGTGACTAGTTTTCACAGATCTATTTCTCATGTCTTATTCTGGCCTCTAACAGTAGTCACTGACTGTAACAGTGACTGTAACGGTAACATTGTAACACTGTTACTAGTCAGTAACAGTGATTGGTTTTCATAGATTTATTTCTCATTTTTTACTCTTAAAGGCCTCTATCAGTAGTCAGTGAAAGTAACAGTGACTGTAACAGAAAGACTGTTACTAGTCAGTTATTGTGACTGGTTTTTATAGATCTGTTTCTCAGTCCTTAATCTGATAGGAATCAAAAGTAGTCAGTGACAGTAACAGTGACTGGAACAGTAAAACTGTAACATTGTCACTAGTCTGGAACAGTGACTATTTACTATTGTGTATCAATTTACAAATTTGCACTGGACAAAGGTTAATCCCCAATATGCAGGTCCAAATGTTTTCTGAGTTTTGTGGACATTCTAAATAATCAAAATACTAAACAAGCAGAATACCTTTTATCTTACTGCAAAGGGTAATATATACTGAGGGAAAAAAAACCTCCTCTCACTCCCTCTACTGACCTGCTGCTCATATTTCTGTTTCAGCTCCTCTAGTTGATAGCCGAACTCCTTGGCCTGTTTCTCCCTTAGTGACTTGGATCGGGACAGATCGGCTTCCACTCTCTCCATCTGGAGACATGAAGTGAAGCAGATGAGAACAGCGGACAAAAAGACAAACTAAAAACTGTTAGACATTAGTGTAACACTTAATCTGAAGGCTATCTGCACAGGAACTTAAGACAAACATGCACTGAACATTTAAAAAAGAAATACCTTTTGTAGTAAGAACAGCTTATTTGTTAGAAAGATCAGCTGTACAAATCAAGCTGTCCATTCACAGCAATGTGATTTCAAAAAGTTACTTTAGTTTTTAAAAGCATGCTGACAGATTCAGTATCTGCATGCTGTGAAAATGCAATTGACTGATTCCCCCAAATTAGAGTATAGCTGCTCATGTCCCATCATTTTCAACAGTTCTATATTGCATGCTTAGTGAAAAACGAAAAGAGAAGACTTTTAAATTCATTTTTACCCCAAACTAAACATGCCTTATTCAAAAACCCTATTAACTAAATGAATGCTGAGATCAATTTGGATCTGAATAACATCACCCATCCCTACTGGCAACTGGAGGTTAGAGAAAGAATCACAAAATGAATGCACAGTGGTACTCTCAGTCTGACATGGGAGGAAGATGAAGACGGAGACATCAGGAGGACAGGGATGGACAAAGAGCAAAGACAAAAGCCATATAGGACAGGATGAAACAGAAAATGGCAGTAACAAAATGATGAAATCAGAAGGGGAATGAGGGAAGTGGTCCTTTTCACTAAGATAGGAAAAGGAGCTTTTCTAAGCGCCAGAAGGTAAGGAAGGCCTCCCAATATCATTCCACAGATATCTGTAAAAACATCAGTACCAGCGCACACAGAGATCGAGACCAGGTTGCAAATAATAGTTCTTAAAAGGGGCAGCTGTTTTCCTATCTGACTAAACATTTAACAGATTTTACAAGCAAATGGGGGCATTTTGTTAAATATGCATAATAAGACTTAAAACTTAATCGGAATACTAACTAACAATTCAGGGGCGCTGTAATTCAAGGCTGGCGGGGGTGGGGGGGGGGACTCAACATCCACACTTGAAAGCCAGATTTTTGACTGCTCAAAAGAAGAAGAAGGGAAAAACGTCTTCTGATGCCAACAAAAATATTACAAAATGTAACTCATCTTGCACTCTTACAACACAGAATGAACCGAAAGGCACAGAGTTCTTGCATCCTCTTTGCAGCTCTCCTGTGATCATAACCAGCTTTCACTGGCCACTATCACCATGGCAATATGTACCTGGTTGCATGCCACCACTGGTCACATAATGTTGCAGTTTTGGGTCAATAAAGGCAAAGAATAGCACAGTAAGGCATAGAACAATGCTTTTTAGTTATTAATTAATTTTTTGTAATATGTAACATGTAATATGTAAAGTTCACCACAGTAAAGAAGAAGGAAAAACTTGACAAGAAAGACTTTAAAGTGCCAGGCAAGACAGTGTAGATTATTATAAATGTTTGATTGATACTAAAAGTGTGTGATAAACATGCAGCAAAGTTTGAATACAAAACCAATAACAGAGAAATATAATTTAAAAATATGCTCAAAATGTTATCAGATCTATCTAAGAACCGTCTTGGCATGATACTAATATTCCAGTGAACACGAGTGATTGACATATCTCAATGTACGGCTCCCGGCCCGCTACGCCACTAAAGCAGTGCTAAAGACAACAGAGTGAGCTGTTGTAGACCCAACTGTGTCCATGGCTCACTAAAAACATTTTCCAGCTTTTAAATGGCAACAACTTAAAGATGGTAGGCTTCGTATTCACTTTACTGCTAGGAATGCTGGTTGACCAAATGAACAGATGAATGGATGCTCTTGCCAACTCAGCTACGCTTGCTAGGACAGCCTTTGTTTATCGTTAGATTTTTCACAGTTAGTTTCTCAGAGAACAGAGAGAAGGAGACTGTTGGGGACACACTTTTGATAAAGCTGTGCGGGTGGAAAAACCCACATCAGCCTAGTGATTGGTGAGGATACCGCCCAGGTGCACACTACCTAAGATTCTGACACTGGACACTGGAAAAGGTTGTGAAGAAAACGCATTAAGGTTCCCTATTAGGTTCCCTTTTAATTAATTAGTCAATTAGTCAATCAATCAATTAACCAACCAACCAACCAACCAATTGACCAATTGATTGATTGATTAATTAGTTAGTATTTTCTATGCTTTAAAAGGTAGGACTGATTTATAGCCATCGTGGTGTGCGTTTAGATGTTATAGCACCTAGGCAGGTTGTGAGATTAGTAAAAATGTGTACTGTGCTTGATTAATTTTTTTCTCTGTTTATGGAAGCTACAATGCAGGAGTCTAGCTGGTGACTGTCAACTTCAGTACAGTGATGTCTCTGGGACATAATGCTTCCTAAGTGGCCTCCTCGACTTATAACATGGCACCTTTTGAAATAAAATTCTGGCTACACCACCGTGAAATATTTGTGCAATAGCAACATGAATTCACAGTGTTTTATTACATTGAGAGGTTTATTCATACTAAGATCAATTTATTTCAAACTTATTTCAAATTTATTTCCACAATACAAAAAAAAAAAATTAAGTATTCAGTATTTAAGTATTTACTTAAACCCAAGGAATTAACTGAGATAATAATAATCTAAATTTATACAAAATCATCATATATAGGGTACTTGTTATTGGAAGGTTGCTGTGCCAAACCCTAAACCCCAAATTTTAATTTGTAAAAATACTTACACTTGTATTTTTTCCAATTTTTTTAATTGTTTTGATTTCTTTTAAAGTGAAGTTGAAAGATTTTGGTTTATCATGAGTTAGTTTATTTTGAAGTATGTGCCCCATCGATCACCCAAAAATCATTGTGTAACATTAAGAACTGTCACAACGGAAATTTTTTTCTGCTATTCTATGTATTTTAAGGAAAAATATTATGATTTTATGTGTGTACAACTGTTCAAAGCTGCAACTGCTTGTCATGTACTAGTGTTTTTGAGTAAGCTCAAAATTAGCTAAATTTTTCACTACCAAAAATATGATTCCATTTTGTCACTACCAAAATAATCATAAAACAATCACAGAAATTTACCATGTTTTGGCAGTGTTATGATTGTTTTGGAAGTGACAAAATGGAATCTTTAGTTATTTTCTTTAATAAAATAAACATAATTAAGGTATAGGGTCATTAATAGCAAAATGGTTTTACCCCCAGGTCAGTTACAAGTCTGAAATGGGTTATGAACTTTATCCAATTCGGTAGAATGATCCATCATTACCTTTTCTCTCCATATTTATTTTAAGGGGTATAAACGGGGCATAACATGAGGCATATTTATCCTTCACCCCGGTATCTTCTGATTTCTGATCTACCCAAGCACTCCACACACCAGCTCAACTCGACCCAAACCACATCAACCTGACTTAACACATGCTGGCTTAGACTCCTGAATAACTGCCTGCCGGTAGCAGCTCAAGTCGCTGAAGGAGCACAGAAATGGTTAAAACGCAATGAGAGTAACTGACTTGGAGCAGGTTGGGGAGAATGGAATATTGATGATGGAAAAGCCTGCAGAATACTAGGATGGGTAAGGTTCAAGAAGGAATGAAAGTTTGGGCTTCAAAAAGGAACAGGAACAGTCAGCCCTTAGGACTCCTCCAACTTTCTACAAGATTCATCTTGTAGATATAAAACAAACAGAAAGCCACACGATCATTCGTTTAGGTCTCACAAGTATTTACAGCAGTCTTTAAAGACTTTCTGTAAGCAAAGCAGGTGGATGTAGACTCTGTCTCAGACAGACTGACACTAATTTCACAAAAAGCTGAAAGCTTGGGTGTCTCTATTGTAACAATTACAATATTCAACCTTATACATGCCACTCTTGCCAGCATCAAGGTCAACAAAACATATACTGGTATTCAGATAAGGCCTGTCACTATAAGAGTAATATACTAATTACTTCACAGTTTAATAAGTAATAATAATAAGTAATCAGAGTTTTAAACAAAGGCTTTACTAAGACTTTGTTGCAAAAAATTATTAATTTTTCAGTGTCAGAAAAAAAATGCACAAAAGATATATTCAACAAAAAAGCCTCAACAACTAAATATATGTTTTTTCAGTATCTAATATGTCCATCTGTGTCTACCATTTGCCTTTATTACTGCTTCCATTCTTTTCAGGATATCTGCTTTCAGCTTTTCAAAGAAATCCGCAGGGATATTTTTCCAGTGACCAAAGTTCAGTCGTGGAAGTTTGTTTCACATTTTCTGCTTCTCGCGATCCAAATAATCCCAATCAGTGACGCTGAGGTCTGGACTCTGGGAAGGCCAGTCCATTGTTTTGAGAACACCAATAGCTTATGTTTTGATCTTCTCAGCAGTGTGTTTGGGGTCATTATCTGTAGAATGAATTTCTTCCCAGTCAAATGTTTTTCAGAGAGCATTACATGATGTATTTACATTTGTTAGTACTTAGCCTTCAATAGTGCCTTAAATCAAAAACAAATCACCATCTCCAGATGTTGTTATACATCCTCAAGCTTGCACTGGATCCCCCACCATGTTTCACTGATGGCTGTAGACATGGTTCAAAGAGTGTCTCACTGCTTTGGTGGCATTTATACTGCCTTCTTTTACTTCCAAGATCTTAAATTTGAGGCTTCATAAACGTTCACAGTTCATAAAACTTCACCCCACATCTCAAATGTCCAGTTTTGCTGTTCTAGTGGAAATGTTCTTCTTTTTAATCCATTTCCTTTTCTCAGTTACAGATTTTTGAGAGCTACACATCTTTTCAGACCCATAGCGTTGAGTCTTCTCACAGTGGTTAGGAAAATCTGTTTAAAGTACTGTTTATCTGACGATGACAGTTTTGGTGATCTATCATGTCTTGTACATTAATTTTCTACAAAATTTTTTAAGTCAATTTTTTTCCACTTACTTTCCTTGGACTTCCCCTTTGCTATGCAAGTGCATTATCTTACATCTAATCTCTTCAAAAATGAATCAATTAACCATTTTTAGATGTACATGATAAAT